GTGAGAACACCATCGCCTGCACCAACGATGACCTTCTCGCCTACGCTTGAGCCCTTCTTTGGTAGACCAGTCACGATGCACGAACTGAGCAACTCTTCTTCCTGGTCCTCACTCCGGACCATGACGCCTCTCCGCAGATCCGTGACGGCCAGTGTGCTTCCTCCCGTTGTGACCCATTGCTTGGCCCAGCCGCTGGTACTCGCTTGCGTGGGCGGTAGAGGTGTGAGGGAGGAGACGTAGTCGTCGTGGGGGCGGTGTGTGTTTTCGGGCTTTAGGGAGACCTTTTCGCCGCCCTTGAGGTTCCGAATGTCGTAGATGTGCAGTGAGCCCGAGTCGGTGGTGAGGATGAGGGATTGCGGTGAGAGACCGTAGACGAGGGTAGGCGCGTCGATGCCGCCATTCGCGCTGTCGGTGTCAGTATTGCTCACGTGATATCCATGTCTCTTGTGCTTACGGATCTAGCGGTACACAAATCTTCGCAGTGACCTGGCCCGTCATGCAGTCTGCGACCTTGACCATGCCATCTGTGCCTGCCGAGTAAAGCGACGTGCCATCGACGCTGTATCCGAGTGTCCGACAGCTTCCCTTGTGTCGCCGTGTGTCCCAGAGCTTGTCTATGGTGCCAAAGCCCTTTTCGGAAGCTATCGTCTCGTCATTGTCGTCGTCGTCGCTTGCGCCCGAGGGCAGCCTGTACGTCTGCACGTGGCCGCTAGCCAAGCCGACGGATATGATAGGCTCCTCTGGATGGATCGCCTGCACAAAGATATCGTGCTCCACCGGGAGCGCGCACAAGTTCTCGAACATCTTGGGTCTAAAGATGATGCGGGAGTTGGTGGAATGCATTTCGCGACAGCTACAACTGGAATTTTTGTGGAGCCGCGGCTCAGCTCTTGCAGGGCAGGTGCAGCCGACGGCCTTGGCAGGTACACACGCACAAGGCGGGCTTTCACCTTCCTGCGAGACTCCAACACCGCCTGCACTTGCGCGCAGTTCCTTCACACTGAACTCCACTCGAAGTTCTTCCTCCAACGTGATCACAATGCTTCACAGATTCACTCGGAGCTGGTTGGAGAGAACATGGGTAAACTCCTGACCAGGTCGTTGAACAACAGCATATTTTTTTATTCCAATTTCTACAAAGTCTATCGTTTCCACATGTCCCACACTCCAATTGTCCATATCATCCGAAGGAAGTTGGGCGGCACCGTAAACCGGGTCTACGGACCACAAGTGCGTCCCTCGCAGCATCGTGAACTTCTTGAACGAATATTCCCTTCCAATCACGGCCATGCCATACGACACGCTTCTTCCCCACCGGGGTTTTGATCTTCATTGCCCCATCATAACTAGTCCTTGGCCAGCGACGCGACAGGAAGGTCAACGTTCGTCGCCATGCGTTATACCTCGTCCGGCAATGCAGCCGAATCACGTTTGTTAATGATTGGCTGTCAGCATCATCACCATCTGCAACAATGTCCGCCGCTGTACAATCGGAGCAAAGACGCCCGACATCATGTACGTCTTAAAGAGAAGCCGGGAACCGTCGTTCATCCGAACAGCAGGCGTTGGATTTATCTCCAGTAATTTAATATCTAATCTGCCATCATGCTCGCGTCATCGCTTCTTTACGGTCTTCTAACGGCCGCATCCTCAGTCAGCGCATACCACCACGCAAAGTCCATCAACTACACCGTCGTAACCGGTATCTTCCAACAAGACGAGCCCTCCACCGACCCCTCGACCTTCAACTTCCTAACCAGCAACTTCGGTCTAATCAACCGAACCTACCCCAGCGATTCTTCCTGCCCAGACCGCAAGCACTCAACCCAATGGCAGCGGCTCGCCCACTACATCTCCACCCTAAACAAAAAGGCACCGCGCAATGAGCGCTACACCCTCTTCTTCATGGGCCGCCACGGCGAAGGCTTCCACAACGCCGCAGAATCCTACTTCGGCACTCCGGCGTGGAACTGCTACTGGTCTGAACTCGACGGCAACGGCACCGTTACCTGGGCAGATGCACAGCTCACCATCGACGGCATCGAGCAAGCGAAAGTAGTAAACAAGTTCTGGAGCCACCTCATCAAAGACGAGAAGATCACCCCGCCTGAGACTTTTTACACCAGCCCCCTGTACCGCTGTCTCGATACCGCGAAGATCACTTTCGAAGGCGTCAAGCTGCCGAAAAAGAACCCCTTTGTGCCTGTTGTCAAGGAATTCCTGCGCGAGGGTATTAGCGCGCATACATGCGATCGCCGCCACAGCAAGTCCTTTATCAAGAAGAACTTCCCTGGCTTCAAGTTCGAAAAGGGTTTCGCAGAAGAAGACCCGTACTGGACTGAGCTCTTCGCTGAGCCGCGCGCAAACCAAGATGCTCGTTCCAAGGCTGTACTCGATGATATCCTCAGCAATGATGATAGTACCTACATCTCCATCTCCTCGCATTCCGGCGAGATTGGAAGTTTGCTTCGTGGTATGTCACCGTCTTTTCAATGTCGTTCCGACATCTTTGTACTAACGAACCCCCCAGTTCTTGGCCATCGCGAATTCCGTCTTTCGACTGGCGCTGCTATCCCGGTTTTGGTCAAGGCATCGACGCTCAATGCTCCTCCGTCTGCTACTACGACGCTGCCGTACACACCGCAGAAGACGTGCGCGGCGCCGCCTGCTATCCGCGACTCGAGCTGCAATGACTGCTCGTGCTGCACTTGAGCGCATTGTTTAGTTCCGGATGTAGACTGAAATAGCTGTAAATTCCGATATTTACTCCACGATCTCAGCCACCAGATTCCAAGCTCTTGCACCCGTGTTCCAGAACGCCCTCTTTCCCAACGTTAACCCAGATTCATCTCGTTTCCCTGCCGTGTCCTCATCTTCAAATCTTGGCTTTCACGTCCTTATGAGTAATCATGCCCATTCGTGGAAACACGGAGAGAGTTAACTTGTGAATCTCACCACACCTGGGCATATGCCGCACGTCACCGGTGTCAACTCCGCTTGAACACGGGGTAAATCTGCATAGCGCACCGTGTAAACATGTCACTTCCACACATGTCACTCGCTCATCTCTATCCCGACTTCCTAGCGGCGTCATGCACGATCACCTCCCTAACCTACGTACTAACCTACCTAACCTCGTTCTCAACGGCTGGGCTACCCAGCCACCGAACTCTATTACTCTATGCTCCTCTCACCCTTCGGCATGTCACAGACTCACAGATGATTAATCCTGCCCGATTGGCTGGCTGCTTTCCATCGACCCCGTCGGCGTTCGTTGTTCCCTGCGTACATCTAGTTCGTTATTCATCTAATTCGTCATCGCAGTTTCACTTGCCACCTCCAGCCTTGGATACACTACCAACTTTCAGCACGCAGGTTACGCACTACCTAGGTACAGTAACACCCTTCTTCCCTGCACGCCTGCCCAACCCTCCTGAACATCACCACGCGCATCACACCACACCATCGGACCTTTTCATCTAGTCCAGCTGCACCTCAGACGCTGAGGATGATCTTAGCGATGATCTTAAAGAGCTAGGTGGGCTAGGCAAACTAGGTCCCGCGTTGAGGCCAGACTGGCGGGTGGTACACTAGCAGTCATGATCGCTGTGAATCGGGCCTTTTCGGACTTTCGCGCTTGAGGACCTTTGCGCTTGAGGGCTTTCGGACTTTCGGGGTCTGGGCGGGCTACTGTAGTAGTAGTAGTGGTAATGGTAGTGGTAGTGGCAAGGTAGTGTTAGGGAAGGGTGATAATTGATAGGTCAATCGAGACGGAACGGTAGGAACCGCGGTTCGTGATTTGAAGGGTTGTTTTGTGGAGACTTTGTAGATGGACGGTTGGGAGGCGTGGTGCGACGGTCACCGGTCGGGTAGTGTTCGGCGGAGTGTCCTTTCAACTTTGGTTGCGATGGAGATAGACATGGACATGCCGATGGGGGAGTTGGTGGCGGAGGGAGGATGGGATGGGATGGGTAAGTGATACAGCATTGCGAAGATCATTGCGAAGGTGATGCCGGTACATGGCGTGATGGTGAGACGACAGTGGCGGTCAGAAGAATGTCTGGCGGTGTCATACAATCATAGTGAGGAACAATGGCGCTGCATGTAAGCTTACTTCCCCTCCCCTGCTGAAGTGGTCTGAGGCTCTGCGGCAGTTGTGGACTTTGTAACGACAAACCTATAACCATGTGTTCTTTTTGAAAACAAGTCAACCTTAGTGTTTTGAGACAAAAAAGCTAGCCTGGAGGTAGCGCATCGCGATATCTTTTTCGTCGTCATGGCATCTAGATAGTCAACGTCAAGCAGACTACCCGGGCCGCAAATGGATGTCGCAACATGCGTAGAATAATCTTAGTGTTTCTTATTAAGTACATTACTAGTATATACAGGGGTATTTAAAAATGTCATGTCGCTCTTTCTCTTTGCTAATGTACAGGGATGGGGGTATACAAAGATAAAAGGCCGTGAGCCGTGATGCGGCAGTTGGTGTCGTCGCTTCCCTGCCGTGGTATATATCCGAGTCAAGTAAAGACCCAGACTCGAGCCGCTGTGGGGCGGTGTGCTTCCAGACGAACCCAGAGAGTCAGACGAACCTGGCCTTTTTTTTCTCGCAGTGCTCGGTAACTGCGATTGCCGAGGCAGGTCGTTCGCATACTTTTTTCGGGTTCACGATGGGCTTTTTTCGTGGTGGAGTGCGGCTGTGGGGTTTGCTTCTTCGCGCACGTGGGAGGACCGTGGTGGTGGGACCGGGGCGCTTGGATATATCTGTGTCGTTGACGATGTCGACCATGGTTACGACCGTGAGTGTGTGAACGCCTTCACCACCGTTGTTTGGAGACGGCATTGAGGTCATTTCGTTCACGGTACTCCGTTTCAGCTGGACCCGAAGCAAAGAGGAACTTGCCGACGCGGCAAATATCTCCTCCGCAACGTAGGGCACATCGCATGTCTTCGTGATGACAAATGGAAAATGTTGAAAGTGGGTATATTGCTGAAACTCATCATCTGTAAGGCGCAGACAAAACCGATCCCCGCTCTTCATCCGTGATGTAAAATGACTTGGAGACCATAATGCCGTTCTGGAAGTGATCCTCTTCCGCACTGCTCCTCGCGCTCTTGATCCTCAAACTCCTTTGACTATCGTTGTCGGAGTTGTCTACACGCGTGCTTTTCTTTGAGTTTGGTGGTGCCTTTCCGCCGTACCATTTGTTCGAATTCGAAACAGGTTCGTCGTCGGAAGTGCGAGTTTGTACGGTGGCGGAGAGTTTGTACATGTCGGGACGGAGCTTGTCGGCTTTGGAGTTTCCAGCGGCATTGCCGGGTAAGGGGGCAGACATGCCGTATGCGGACGGACGGTAGGCTCCAGTTGGGCGTGTAGAGAGACCGAGCTTGTGCATGGCGATGAAGAATAATGGGCGGAGTGTTGCAAGGCTACCGGCAGTGATGGCGAGACCTTGTTCAACGGACGACCAGATGGCGATGTCAAGTGTGGACCCTGACAGCATTAGTACCTATTGAATAAGCGGCGGTAGGAAGACTTACAGAGGAAGTCAGGAGAGTTGAAGTAGTGAACGAAAGGCATGCGCGCGATGACCGCAGCACTTGCGATGCAACCCATGGTGATCAACGGGATCAAAGCAACCTTGGTCCTCCTCTTCAACTGCAAGTGCCACACCAAGAATCCCGGAATGATAGCGAAGGTAAAGTCGGTGATGATGCTGAAGATACTGTAGACGTAGCCGAGAGCGGTGATGACTGTGTTGTCGACGCACTTTCCTTCTTGCGAAGTGCGGTCCCACATGTATGAGATTGGGTAGCACTGGAAGAGACAGACGAAGAAGAAAGTGCCTCCAGCGATGATCGAGACGCACATGGCACTGTAGATGATCCTGGTACACTTGGTCAACGTTGTCACAGGTCCAGTTCGTTTGATTGCCTACCATGTATGCAGTTTTCGAATACTAATCCGCAGGAGAAGAAACCCAATGGACAGCTTCGAACAGATCATGGAGATGGAGTAGAACAGATAGCAAAAGTACCACGCGTGCTTCGCATTTTGAACACCCTCGATGGGCAGGTCACGATGATGTTTTCCGGTTCCATAGTGTATGCCGATGCAAGACGATGTGGTGTAAGAAATGAAGAAGAGCTGAGGACCTAGTCAGATCGGGACCCGGTTATCGTATTAATATACACTTACAGTTGCGAGAACCATCAAATAGTCATCTCGGCCAAATGCCTTGACCATACAGAGGCGAACATATATCCTCAAGCAACAAGCCAGAACAGCAGTGGTGACGAAGGCGATATTGACTGCGAGCAGCTCGGGGCCTCTGTTGGGAATAGCCATTGTGATGTGGTATATTGACGAAGCAGTGGACACTCATACAGCGAGGAGGAGCCCCAGAATGAGCACACCGTTCGGTCGGTAATGGGGGGGCTCAGGATCTTTTACGCAGCTAGACACTTGACCGAATAAGCAGGGTGGAGACTATAGAAGACACCGCATAATGGGTGCCGCCACGAGTGAAGTGGGTCTGCGGGCGGGCTCCCAGGACTCGTTCCAGGGTCTGGTCCGTTTCAAGGAGCGACCATTACCAACAGGGTCGTTGTCCCGCGGAGCTCGGACACGGGACTATGGATTTGGCGAAGTCGTTCATGCGTTGACAGGGCACACGGGGACGCGTAGAAGCTGACGGCAGTAGTGTTGACTGCCGCAAACGAAATTGTTCATTGAACTCAAATAGGGACATGACGGAGGGGATAGGAGATCAGCGTACACATGTGCAGCAGCTGGGCAGCCTCGTGTTCATCGCTGACTTGTACCTCGCATAGGCTGGGACGCCACCATGGCTGGAAGGCAGCTCGCAGTAGCGAAACTCAAAAGCGCGGCTTGGGGAACGGCAGTGGTTGTTCTGTCCTGCTTTTGGCGGTGCCTAGATGCGTCCCGCTCGAAGGAGTTTCGCGATGTTCACCGGCCACGTGAAGGCTAGCCGAGAAGGGGATTAGTCACCGAAAATCTCGCAAGGGCTGCGTCTTCCGTGCCTTCCGCTTCCCAGCTAGCTCCGACGCCCACTGACAGCCAAAGAGTCAACACTCAACCTCACAGACTCCTCGGAGCTCCCACTTGCTGCCGCTGATCGGCTGCATCATCGCGCAGTATCTCTTTAACCGTTGGTTTCAGTTATTCTACGCTGACTGCCGGTTCTCTCGATGAGGAAGTGCTCTGCACCTCTAAAGACGGGAACTTGTAACCGCTAGCCGGGCGGTTCCTGAACCTGCGTGGAGCCCCACTGAAGGTTTGCGAGAGCGAGAGTCCGCCGACACCGCCAGCCATTCCACGATGATAGATTCATTGTACTGTGGCTTTTGACGTTCAATTGTATAACTCAAGACTGTCGCCAGATTACTCAGGTGCCTCGGCTCCTTCCCATTGAGTCTGCAGGGTTTCACGAGTATCTAGTGCGCGGACTGACTCGTCGTCGCGGGCATCGGCACTTGCTGTAGGCACTGAAGAACCTGGATCTAGCTCAGGACTTGCATCATCGCCAACGCTACTATCGTCCCCTAGATGCAGAGTCCGTCGCACGAACAACCATAGTTCGCGACTGAAACCCGGACTTGGGATCTGATATACAACAACGGCTAGTCGTCCGAACGCCTGTCAATTGCCTGTCCGACGACGTCTGCTTCAATATTTCGACAAACAGGCATCGGGATTGCGTGCCAACGCGGGTAACGCTGGATGGCAGGCCGATGAGTCTCGCAGGCACCATCCTAGCGATCAGAATTCCATATGTGGGCCCCGAATCCACAGAACAATGGCGACATGAGCGTCGCATGCATCAGGGTAGCACAGCACTTCCAAATTCCTGGAAACAACTCCGCAACCGTTTATCTCCCGATGCCACGCCCGTCCGGTCCTCTCGAAGCCAGTGGTCTCAGCTCAACGTTCTTCCCGTTTGGTAAGTTCGTCTCAAACTGCCGAGGAACGCTCACCAAGGCCTCCCAACGAAGGTTTAGGCGTCCGGCGGAGCAGACTCCTGGGGAAAAATTCCGGCTTCCAAAGTGGCGACCGTGTATTGGAGTTCGGAGAGTAAAACGGTGTTCCCCTGCGAGTGCGACGAAGAACTCTTCGTACCCTTGGCCTGTTGAACCCACCGTCGAGCCGCCCCATCGCCGCATTCGTGCAACCCTTGCAGTCGGGAGCAACGATCCTATGGTTGACTGGGTTGAGTGAAAATCTTGAACATTTCTGGACGACGCTCGCAAGGTTCAGTCATGGCAACAAACTTTGGTTAAAATGTGAGTCGGTACCTGCTCTGGTAACGGACGAACTTGCGGTTCTGGTGTCTAGTTCGCGCTTATGTCCGACGTCCTGGTATCCGTATATGCGATGGCGGCCGTTATGCTTCAAACCAGGGAACTCGTTGGATGTTTGCTAGAGGCCTAACAACCGAAGCAGGCAGGTAATGTACTGCAACAAACGTTATCAAGATACTGGAATAATGGCGACATTCAACATGCGGACATACTGGAGGCCTTGCCGTCGCCTAGTCCGAATGCGATTTCTGATGCAGCTGCCACGGCTGCTAAATCAGGAGGCGAATATCACAACCCGAACAAGACACGGCAACCCATCATCAAATGAACTGCCGATCTTGTAAGCTGTACCAGAACGAGGTATCCATACACACGCGAACAAATGGTCTACACAAGAAGCATAACATGAACATCATCACCCTCCAATCCAAGTCCACCCACTCCGAAGGGGATCGGGCTGCACTGTTGCATTGCTGTTACGGCTGAACAACAGTGAGCTATTACCTTCTTTGCGGACCGGTTATTGACATGTGCCCACCAAGATCACCACATTGCTTTTCCGGCACATCCTCACTTTCTTATCTCCAGATAGCACAACACACAAGCATCCGCTTCTTGGAGTAGTAAGTCCATGCGACAACCTCCATGATTGCTTCTTCGCATCCTCCGCCCTCCTTTTCCCAAGATAAGCAATTTGCTTTTTTCTTATGCATGCATGCGAATGCATATCACGCATATGTACATAGCATGCGCCAATGCGGCACAGTCTCGGGCGCACATCAAGGCACGACGACGCGCCCGCCCACTCACCAACACGAAGGCCCCCGGAAAATCCTAGCGGCTACGTCCCGCAGCCGCCCCAATCACGTCGCCAGACAATTCTCCGCATTGCACCGCCGAAGGAATGCCGTGTGGGTGACAGCGGCTGTGGCGTAGGTGTTTCCCTTTGGTGGATTGAGATTACGCAACCGCTGGAGGACGGCTGTGCCACGGGTAGTATGTTTCGTGCGGGGTGGAGACTTTGCGGCGTGGTTGAGAGGGTTTGTATATGAAGAAGTGAGTGCGAGGTACGGCGCACGCTGTGTGCTACATACCATATCACAGACATCTTCGGACCGAGTATCACTCAACACTTCAAACGAACGCACTGCGAGACCGGCTTACAGCGACACGTCAACTTGCGACTACACGCGCATCAACACGGCAGACCATGAAGACCGTTCTCTCAATCGCAGGCCTCATCGCCTTTACAGCCGCCTCCCCACTACCCTCGCCTGAACACTCAGAAGCCCTACCCCTCGTTACCCTCTCCCTCATCGGCTCACCCTCACACTACACACTCGGCTCATCCCAAAACCCACAAATATCCACATCAACATCCAACAACGCATGGTCGATACACATACCCATCGATGTCTCCCTCGATCTAAGCACACGACCGGAACACGTCCAGGCCATCGAGATACTTGGAGTAGAGAAGGGCATGGATCTGCAGGGAGGGGCAGTAGAGAGGGATGATGCGGATGTGGTGTGTAAAGCGAGTTTGGGGTGGGGGAGTGAAGGGGTGGTTGTGAGGATGGGTGGGGAGAGGGTTTTGGTTGATGGGGGGAAGGTGGGGAGGGTTACTGGGGTGGGGTGTTGGAAGGAGAGGGTATAAACTATATGTGCTTGAAAGTCCTCACAAGCAAAATATGGAGGAAAGTGGCATGTGGCTTTATTCATTGCGGTGGCGTTTGATATTCACATCCGCCTCGGAGCGTGTACGTTGCTTCCGCTTTGTCTTCTACAGGCAGTCTTATAGCCTGATAATATAATCCCTTCCAAATGTTCTGTCGACCTACCTCGCACACATGAACATCATCACAATCCTCAATTACTACGCCCTATAACTCCGCATCAGCCTATCCACAATACTAACCCCCACCTGCTCCTCCTCACTCATCTTCCCCTCACCCACCCCCTCCCCATCTACCTTCTCAGCCACAAACCCCTCCTTCCGCATAATCCCCTCCATCATCCTAATCCCCCTCAACTCCTGCAGTGGCGGAATATTCTCCACACCCTCGGGATCTATCGCGTCGAAATCTACACCATTGCTAGGCTTAACCGCACCCTCAATCTCATACAGCGCATCCGGTGTAACAACAAAATCACACTGTACCTCTCCCTTCCTCGTCGGAGATACTGTTACCTTCTCCACACCCAGCGCCGCCTCATCAACGACCTGACAGTCATGCGCAAGCGCCACAACAGGCGTCGAAGGGTGTAAAACACCTAGGTCCGATAACAGCGCATATTGTATCTCGAATAGATTATGCCCTTCCCAGATCGTTACGCCCTGCGCGTTGAACACCAGACCGCCCGTTACGCATAGGTCTACCCGGAGCACTTCATCCCGCATCTGCGCCAGCGACACCGAACGCCCTATCCCAGGTTTCTCCATGCCGTCTAGACACGCCGCGATTTCGTATTTTTCCTCACGTATCCGGCCGGGATGCAACAGCACAAATCCCCTGCGCAGTCGGTATGTAGCGACGAGCACCTTCTTCCCGTCTTTCAGGGCCCGGTATCGTAGTTGCTCGAGGCTGTTGTCGGGGGTGATGAGGATTACGGCGGCGGACTTGTAGCATGGTAGTGAGACGAGACGGTCGATGGCGGAAGAGGAGCCCCGGAAGTCGGGGGTGAAGGACATGTAGTCGTGGTTGAAGCGCGCGTCGGGGTGGGCGTGTTGGAGGAGGGTGCGGTAGACGTGGGCCCAGATGAGCTTGCGGGTGGAGTCGTCATCGGCATCGGCATCGGGGGGATGAGGGAAGGTCATTGGGAGACGGGGAAGCGAGTGACGGGTGGCTGGAAGCCTGGGTGGATGGGATGCTGTGGGAGCGGAAGGCGGCGTGGTGGACTGTATGCGCCGTGCCGCGCACTCCATCGATGGTGGATATGGCGGGGGATTCTTTGTTTGGGCTGACTAACCGGGCCGCATCGTCATTTTGCGTCCTCCTCCTCCCTCATCTCAACCTACAAAAACCG